ACGTGTTACCTCGGGGAGTGGCAGGAAAGGGACCTAGGATGCCCAAGGCGACAAGCTCATTAATGTGGGACACTTGAATGGACTGCACGGATGGGCAAGACGGCCGAGCTGGCAGCTTTCGCCGTGCGTATTGGGTGCACCCTGCAGCAAGTCAGCCACATCCCTTGCAATGCCTGGCACCCCTAAGTGTAAGAGGAGCTCGTGGGCAGCCCAACAGCCTTGCCCCGCAGGGTAGTGGGCACAACAATTGTGTCTTGGCGCAAGCTGCCGTCCCACGTTATTAAGAGGCCATTGCGCAGGATGAAAGATGCGAAGCCCTCGCGACTCCCCTCGGACTGTCCGACGCGATGACGTAACTTAATGAGGGAGATATCGATTTAAAGCTTTCGTGACTGCAGGGATTCATCTTCTTGGTTCTTTCGGTAAAGTCACGTAGAAGGGAAGTAATAAAATAATAAAAATAAAACATAATAAAATTATTCTCACGACGTTTCGGCCACAACGCAAGCAGCCGTCCTCAGGTGAAAACCAGGTCCGTCGAGGCGACAGAGTCTGAATGAAACAGCACACGAGCTTGGAGCATATATATAAGCTGGGCGCATGGACAAAGGAATTTGCATATCAAGAGGAATTTAGCATATTTATGGGAAATGCAGGAATGTGATTAGAACTGCATATGCATGTGCATTATGCAGGATTAACAGCATCAAAGGGAGCTGCAGTTGCTGCTGCTGCTGCTGCAGTTGCTGCTGCAGTTGCTGCTGCTGCAGTTGCTGCCTTATCCATTTTAATATAACACTATGTATTATTCTACCCACCCTAATGTGTATTAGGGTGGGTAATGTGTATTATTCTACCCACCCTAATGTGTAGCACACAAATATATAGCAGTGTGATACACATTAGGGTGGGTAGAATAATACATAGTATTATATTAAAATGGGTAAGGCAGCAACTGCAGCAGCAGCAGCAACTGCAGCAGCAGCAGCAACTGCAGCAGCAGCAGCAACTGCAGCAGCAGCAGCAACTGCAGCAGCAGTAGCAACTGCAGCAGCAGCAACTGCAGCAGCAGCAACTGCAGCAGCAGCAACTGCAGCATCAGCAACTGCAGCTCCCTTTGATGTTGTTAATCCTGCATAATGCACATGCATATGCAGTACTAATCACATTCCTGCATTTCCCATAAATATGCTAAATTCCTATTGATATGCAAATTCCTTTGTCAATGCGCCCAACTTATATATATGCTCCAAGCTCGTGTGCTGTTTCATTCAGACTCTGTCGCCTCGACGGACCTGGTTTTCACCTGAGGACGGCTGCTTGCGTTGTGGCCGAAACGTCGTGAGAATAAATTTCGATTTAAAGCTTTCGTGACTGCAGGGATTCATCTTCTTGTTTCTTTCGGTAAAGTCACGTAGAAGGGAAGTAATAAAATAATAAAAATAAAACATAATAAAACAATTCTCACGACGTTTCGGCTACAACGCAAGCAGCCGTCTTCAGGTGAAGAATGAGACACTACCAAACTAGGAGCTTATATATAAGCTGCATTGGGGGTTGAAGAGCGCCTTAACAAAAAGAATGTGCATGTGAAGAGGGATTTAGCATATTCATGGAAAATGCGTAGGCGTTGGGCGGGGGGGTGTCAAAGTCATATTATGCCCATGCATTATGCAGGATCAGCAGCAACCAAGGGGGGTGCAGGGATTAGCAGTAACAAAGGAAAGGAATGTTAATGATATGTAGCTGCAGTTACTCAACAACACGTAGAAAACTAAAGTATAAACTACATAAAAAACTAAAGTATAAACTGCATCGCACCATCAGTATACTTACTATACTCTATAATAAGCTGAGTTACTAACAGCAAGTAATACATTACAATTTTACCTCGTAAAAATTCTATAATATGCTTCCATCTAAACCTTATTCTCTTACATCACACGAGCATATACCGTACTATATACTGCCATAGATAAACCCAACATTAAATTATATACTGTATTGCTGTAAACCAACCTATATCTTATACATTTAATATCACACTATGTATTATTCTACACACCCTAATGTGTATCGAAATGGTTTATTACGTCCTTCCAATGATTGCTGAGCCAGAATCCATCTTCTCGGTTAAAGTTGTCTCTGTGTTTATATATACAAACACAGAGACAACTTTAACCGAGAAGATGGATTCTGGCTCAGCAATCATTGGAAGGACGTAATAAACCATTTCGATACACATTAGGGTGTGTAGAATAATACATAGTGTGATATTAAATGTATAAGATATAGGTTGGTTTACAGCAATACAGTATATAATTTAATGTTGGGTTTATCTATGGCAGTATATAGTACGGTATATGCTCGTGTGATGTAAGAGAATAAGGTTTAGATGGAAGCATATTATAGAATTTTTACGAGGTAAAATTGTAATGTATTACTTGCTGTTAGTAACTCAGCTTATTATAGAGTATAGTAAGTATACTGATGGTGCGATGCAGTTTATACTTTAGTTTTTTATGTAGTTTATACTTTAGTTTTCTACGTGTTGTTGAGTAACTGCAGCTACATATCATTAACATTCCTTTCCTTTGTTACTGCTAATCCCTGCACCCCCCTTGGTTGCTGCTGATCCTGCATAATGCATGGGCATAATATGACTTTGACACCCCCCCGCCCAACGCCTACGCATTTTCCATGAATATGCTAAATCCCTCTTCACATGCACATTCTTTTTGTTAAGGCGCTCTTCAACCCCCAATGCAGCTTATATATAAGCTCCTAGTTTGGTAGTGTCTCATTCTTCACCTGAAGACGGCTGCTTGCGTTGTAGCCGAAACGTCGTGAGAATTGTTTTATTATGTTTTATTTTTATTATTTTATTACTTCCCTTCTACGTGACTTTACCGAAAGAAACAAGAAGGTCGTGAGAATAATTTTATTATGTTTTATTTTTATTTATTTTATTACTTCCCTTCTACGTGACTTTACCGAAAGAACCAAGAAGAGGGAGATATCCTCCATTTGGAGGCGGCGCCAATCATCGAGGTTCAGGCCAAGCATCGCATCCCATGCGACCATCCCGTCAGGTTCCCCTGAGGGACTCACCCCAGAGGGAACCACCTCGGCCGCTGCAGCGAGGGGTGGTAGTGAGCTATCAAGTGGCTGCCTGCAGCACCCCGAGCCAAGGAAACATGCACACTTTTCACCAGTTGGCAGACGCAACAAGGCGTCGGCATTAGAGTGTTGTCTGCCCTTATGGTAAGTAACCATAAATGCATAGTCCTGGAGGACCTCCAACCAGCGAGAGTTTACCGGATGGCTGGTCAACTCGTAACGCGTATTGTAGTGCCGCGTGGTCGGAGCGCATGGTGAAATGCCTGCCATACAAATATGGCCGGTACTGTTGGACAAAGAATACAATGACCAACAGCTCATGACGAGTAATGCAATAGCGTTGCTCCACCAGAGACAACACACAGCTGCCATATGCAATCACGTGTTCGATCCCATTGAAGACCTGTGACAACACCCCACCAATGTCGGTGTTGCTGGCATCCGTGTCGAGAATGAATGGCACGGAAAGTTGGGGTAACATAGGGGAGGAGCATTTACCAAGGCGTCGCGCAGCGAGTTAAATGCGGCCTCCTCCTCTCTCCAATGGAACTTCATCCTTTTGGCTGTCAGCGCCTGGAGGGGCTTGGCAATGGACGCAAAACCCACCACGTAGCGTCGATAGTAAGACGCAAAGCCAATAAAACTCCGCACTTGATGTGGGGGTTGGCCACGTGCGAACACAATTTGTTTTCTCCAGATCAGTGGTAATGCCCAACTGGCTGACAATGTGTCCAAGGTAATGCAACGTAAGGGGTGGCATTTTTGTGGTTTAAATTTAAGATTTGCTGCTTGCATTTTAACAAAACGGCCCTCAAACATTCCAGGTGTTCCTCGAAGTGCGGCTGAAGACAATAACGTCATCTAAATTAATCAGGCATGAGACCCATTGGAGCCCAGCAATAACCAGTTCAATCAACCGCTGGAATGTTGCTGGGGCCGAGTGGAGATCCATGGGCAGCCAGTTAAATAAAAAAATGCCCTGCGGCTTTCGGAAATCAGTCTTAGGTTTTGATGCCTCGTCGAGGGCCAATTGCCAAAAACCGGACAAAAGATCCAGTGTTGAAAAGTAACGTGCCCCCCTAAGGCATCCAGTGATGAAGTGGATATGGGTCAGCCACGGAAATTTTATTAAGCCTTTCATAAATCGACACGAAACTTTAAGCTGCCATCCCCCCAAACCGCAGTGTTTGAAGGACCCAGCAGGACACCCCATGCCATCGCCACCAAATCAAGAGGTTTCCGTAGCCGAAGGGGAACCAACATCTGCACATCTGGCGGAATGCACACAGTTCGAGATGCCAATGCCTGGACGGTAGCGCTGGCTGTGCGCAACCGAGTCAGTCAAGGCAGGAATGCCATATGTCGACCACAGGGTTCGATACAGCCCTGGTCGATAAGAATTTTTATAGGCATTTTGCCAAGAAAATCTTTTCCCAGTAAGCATGGAACAATGAGGGGTGTGTAAACTAGAATGGGGCCCGCCAATTTCACATCACCGATATAAATCTGGGCATTAATCTGGCCAATTATGCCCAGCGACCCTCCGTTAGCAGCGAAACATGGGACATCAATTGGATATAGGGTACGACATTTCTTATGTAAAATATTGTAAATAAGGTCAGAAATGAAGGTGGTAGAAGCCCCTGTGTCGATCAGCATTCGAAAGTGACCCCCTCGATGGATCCAATAATGACAGAGGACCCTGCGGCCGCGGCAACAACTCTATGGGCCAACTCTGACCACTGACCTGGTCGAAGTGCCCAGTCGGTTTTAGGACATTCTGACCACCCGACACCCAACGCACTATGAACACGTGACGCGACGTAATGAGGTGTACGGGGTGAGAGCGGGGGGCGAGCGTGTGTGGTGCCGCGACTCACCTGAGGCCGCCGCAGAGCCGAGTGACCGAGAAGCTGAAGACCGTGGTCCGGAGATGCGACGTCGAGGTGCCCGCCAGCCCGACGATACGTGTCCCCGTAGACCGCAGTTATAGCAGGTGATGAGGGCTGCATCCGGCCACAGAGATGCTCGTCCCCACTGTCGGAAGTCCTGTTGACAAGAGTGATCATCGGCTCTCCAACCCCCGGCTTGAGTCGATGCAAAGGTTGGGTTGAGGCTCCTCCGATGAACTGCAGGAATCGGCCAACACAGTACAGGCATCAAGACCCATCTGCCGTTGGAGGAGATAGTGCGCTTGGATGCATTTTTTGGTGCCCAGGGAGCACAGGTCTCCGTCGTCAATGGAGTGTATAACCACACGCAAGTCCCGTGCTAGCGCCATCTTTTTAAAAACAAGTGCATCGATGCCCTCGTAATTCTAGACTTGAAGCTTTCGTGACTGCAAGGAATCATTCTTAGGTGTTTTCGGTAAAGTCACGTAGGTAAAACATCAAAATTAATAAAAATAATAAAATAAAATAAAGATCACGACGTTTCGGAGGCAACACAAGTCTCCGTCATCACTGTTGTGACTGTCCCACCTGATGACGGAGACTTGTGTTGCCTTCCGAAACGTCGTGATCTTTATTTTATTATTTTTATTAATTTTGATGTTTTACCTACGTGACTTTACCGAAAACACCTAAGAAAGGTGGCCATCGCCAGGGTAAGCGATGCGCTGCGGAAGGCGAGGAGAGTTTCCGACTCACCCTTCCTCCGAGCAGCGAACCAGTGTCGCGTGTTGGATGGTAGGCCGTAGATGTCGGCCATTTGTTGCAGCGTCCGTTGCAGCAGAGATCGATCCTCCCGTGGAATCGTGATGAGAGCGGCAAGGGCGTCGTCGTCCAGGGCGGCTGGGAGCGCCCGTAGCACCTCTTCCTCCATCCACCCCGCCATCTCGCGATGTAAGAGGAAGTGGTGCTGAAAGTCCACTCAGTCACCTCCCACCACAGAGAACTCTTTGAGGACGGGCAGGCGTTGGTGGATGGCCGGCTCGCGTCCCACGGGCAGATGCTCTTCATCACTTTTGGCGGGAACTTCGCCCCATCAGTCAACAAGATGGCGGCCCCCTGCGCCGGTCTCGCAGCTGATGGCGCGCGATCGCTGATTGGCGCAACCGCGACCGGAAGTGACGCACGTCCCATGATGCTCTCGGCTTCTGGCGGAAACTCCCCCAACCTCGGCGGGAGATTAAAAATATTGGGCAGGAATTCCAGAACCGGCGGCGGCTTTTGCCGTTGCCGCAGGGCCGCTCTGCCCCCCTCCACTGTCGGCTCCCCGCGATGAATCTCGTCGAGGATGGAGGCCGCGGCGTGCAGGAGTTCGGCGAGGCAGGAGTGCTCTCCCCATCGGGTGGCCGGGCAGACTGCAGCTCGGCCGGCAACTCTTCATCCCCTTCTGCCGGAGTTGCATATACTGTCAGTGCATGTTTTTTGTTTGCATTTCCAACACAAGTATATGTGGTTAATGAATACATGATTCCTTGAAAAAGGTTTCAGTTTGGTGGTTTAACGTCTTCACACCTGTTTTGTTGCCAGGAAAAAGGGGAAACCCCATTTTTGTTTGTGGAGAATAATAGCCATTTTCTATACTTTTAAGGCAAAAACAATTAGAAAATAACACTACCCAGGAACAAAATCTTTTTTTATTACACAGTTTTATTTGAACTGTATCGGGCCTCCCCTCGGTCGACTCAGCCTCAAATGAGTACCCCCCCCTCCCCGTGCAGTGGTTGTGTAGTAAACATCGCCACTGGGGAGACAAAGGCGGCCGGACGTGCGTGGTGCTGGACACCCACCCCCTCTGTGTGTGCCACAGTGCGGGTAGCCTTCAGAGGCTGCTTGCTAACATCACTTAACCCCCTTAGTCTGTTAAGGCAATACGGGGGATATTTGTCTTTGTTTGTATACGTACGTGTGTGTGTAGGTTGAAATGTCTAAGTGCGCTATTGGACACCATGGTTTAATTGTTAATATTTACTCAGTATGAATGGAAACAGTATATATATATTTCCACGCATTGCAAGAATCTATATAAGTCTGGATATTTCTCTAGCCCTTCTGGAACATCGATAGCATTCTCATCACCCAGCTTTCTAGCCCCTTCTGGAACATCATCTTGTTGTCGTGATGATGGTGGCGATGGTGGTGGTGATGATGATGATGATGGGATCTCTCTTCATCTTTACAACAGAGGTTAATGGTGAGTGTGCTGGTGGTGGTAGTGACGATGATGATGGTGGTGGCGGTGGTGGTGGTGATGGAGGTGAAGGTGCCACTCATTCACCCACCCACACACTCACAAACCTACTCACCCACTCATCCACCCAATCACCCACTCACTCACCCACTGATCCACTCACTCACCCACCCACTTACTCATCCACCCACCGAACCACAGGGTTTGGCTACTTCCTCCGATATCTGAGGCTTGGCAATCGCCACATCCATACAATTCTCTCTCTCTTAGCCATTCACCCACACACTCACCCACTCACTCACCCACCCATCCACTCACCCACCCGCCCACCTATCTTTGTCTGCCCACAGCCGCCTTGGTCTGCACTACTCCATTTAGCGAAAAGTTCAAGGACGTTTCCGCGTCCCCTGGCGGGATTCTCATCGGCGTTGGGAGCGACAGAGACGTCAAAATCTGGTCCGGTTGCTCTTGGCGACCGATGGGGGCGATGTTTGATCAGATATCGATCGGTGGCCGAGGTCGGGGTGCAGCAACGTCGAGCGGAGACCTCTACGCGTGGGCGAGAACCGACGACGAAAACGTGTACTACTACCACGGATACGCGTGGTACCACGTGATGGGTGAGATGATGATTTGCTTCTGCCGCTGCTGCTGCTGCTGCTATTATTAGTATCACTACTGCAAGCAGATTATTTTAAAGTGATACGCCCACTCATTCACCCACCCACCTACTCACCCACTCACTCACCCACTCACCCAACCATCCACCCGCTCACTCACCTACTCACCCATCCACCCACTCACCCTCCCATAGACCCACACACCTACAAAAAAAAGACAGAGATCCCTTGTATAGCCTTGGTAGACTGTAGGAGCAAGTGCTGTTAGCAAGCACATATGAAAGCCGGAACGGTACGTGATGGGGTGGGTGGCCAGCACCATGCCTGACCGGCTTTGTCTCTCCAGTGGCGATGTTTACACACTGCACCAGGTAATCATTTGAGGATGATTCAAGTTCAAGTTAATTTATTAGGTATAGCCCTGTGAGCCATTCGGCTCTTGAATCGGGTGCAACCGCACGTAGGGGAGGCCCAGGACCAGTTCAAATAATCGTCACTGGGTGTTGATGGCGAGCGGGAATCGAAGTTGGGTCACCAGGATCACAGCAAAGCACACTAAACGCTACACTATCGCTCCCCACGACCTATTCACACACTCGCTCACCCAAATACTCACCCACTCACCAACTCATTCACTCATCCAACCACCTACTCACCCACTCACTCACTCACGCGCCCAATCACCCACCCGCCAACTCACTCACCCACCCACTCACAAACCCACACACTTACCCACGTACCCACTCACTGACCAAACCACCTATACACCTGCCCACTGACCCAACTATCCACCCACAAACCCACCCACCGATTCACTCAATAACCCACTCATCCACTTATTCACCCACCTACTCAATCACTCCTTCACCCACCCATCCACCCACTCACTCACTCACTTATCCATTCACTCATTCATCCACTCACCCACTCACCCCTTCAGTCACTCATCCAACCACTCACTTAACCACTCACCCAGTGAGTCACTCATATACTCACCCACCCATACACTCACCCAACCACTCACTCCCCCACTCACCCTGTCAGTCACTCACCTACTCACACACCCACCCACTCACCCACTCACCCACCCACTCATTCACTCACCTACTCACTCACTAACTCATCCACTCATGCACTCAATCATTCACTCACTCACATACTCACCCACCCACTCACCCACTCACACATTCATCCACTCACTCACCCACTAACTTACTTACCCATTCAATCAGTCATTCTCCGATTCACTCATTCATCCACTCACTCAGTCACTCATCCACTCACTCATCCACTCACTCACCTACTCACCCACCCACCCACTCACCCACCTATACACTCACCCAAACTCTCACTTTACCACTCCTCCATCCACTCATCCACACATTCAACCACCAACCCACGCACTCACACATTCACTCACTCATTTACTCAGCCAGTCAGTCACCTACTCACCAACCCACTCACCCACCCACCCACTCACCTACCCACCCACTGACTAACTCAAACGTCCACTCACTCACCTACCCATCCACTAATCCACTGACCCATTCATCCACCCCCTCACTCAGCCACTCACCCACCCACCAACTCACTTACTCACTCACCTAGTCACCCACTCACTTACCTAGTCACCCACTCACTTATCCGCTCACCTGCTCACCCACTCTCTCACTCACTCACCTATTCACCCACCCACCCACTCTTCCACTCACCATTCATCTATCCACTCACTCACTCACTCACCCACCCACCTACTCACTCACTCACCCATTCCTCGACTCACCCACTCATTCATCCACCGTCCCACTCACCATTTTACCAATTCACCAATTATTCTTTGGTTCTTTCGGTAAAGGTACGTATAAAGAGAAAATAATAAATTAAATACTAGCATACGACGTTTCGATTGCAACACAAGCAATCATCATCAGGTATAAATGAAATAGAAACACAAATCTGTATACTAGATTTGTGTTTCTATTTCATTTATACCTTACGTGACTTTACCGAAAGCTCCAAATTAAGTTTTAATTCACCAATTCACTCACTCATCCACTCAGTCACTCACTTGCTCCCCCACCCACCCACTCACCCACCCATTAACTCACACCACTCACTCACTCATCCACTCACTCATCTACTCACCCACCCACCCATCCACCCAAACTCTCACTTAACCACTCCTCCATCCACTCATCCACACATTCACCCACCAAACCACGCACTCACACATTCACGCACTCACTTACTTACTCAGTCAGTCACTCACCTACTCACCCACCCACTCACCCAACCACCCACTCACCTACCCACCCACTCACTCACCCACCCACTCACTCACCCACCCACCCACCCAACCACTCACTCACTCACCCACACACCTACCCACACACCTACCCACACACTCACCCACACACTCACCCACCCATCCACTAATCCACTGACCCATTCATCCACCCCCTCATTCAGCCACTCACCCACCCACCAACTCACTCACTCACTCAATCACTTAGTTATCCACTCACTCACTCACTCACCCATTCACCCACCCACTCCTCCACTCACCCTTTCACCCACCAACCCACTCACTCATTCACTAACTCATTCCCCGAATCACCCACTCACTCACCCACCGTCCCACTCACCCTTTTACCAATTCACCAATTCACTCATTCACCCAATCAGTCACTCACCTACTCACCCATCCACTCACCCACCCACCCACTCACTCATCCACTCATTCACTCACTGACACACCCATCCACTAATCCATTGACCCATTGATCCACCCACTCACTCAGCCACTCACTCACCTACCCACCAACTTACTCACTCACCTAGTCACCCACTCACTCATCCACTTACCTTCTCACCTACTCTCACACTCACACACCATTCACACAACCACTCCTCCACTCACTATTTCATCCACCCACTCACTCACTCAATCACTCACTAACCCATTCTTTGACTCACCCACTCACTCACCCACGGTCCCACTCACCCTTTACCAATTCACCAATTCACTCACTCACCCACTCAGTCACTCACCCACTCACCCACTTACTCTCCCCACTCATCCACTTACTCACCCCACTCACTCACTCACTCATCCACTCACTCATCCACTCACCCAGCCACCTACTCACCCACCAACCCACTCACCCAACCACTCACTTAACAATTCACCGAGTCAGTTACTCACCTACTCACCCACTCATACATCCACCAACTCACCCACCCACCCACCCACTCACACCCACTCACTCGCCCATACACTCATTCACTCACCCACTCACCCATTCATCCACTCACCGATTCATCCATCCACTCACTCACCCAGTCAACCACCCACTCACTCACCCAGTCACCCACTCACTCACTCACTCATTCACCCAACCACTCGCCCATTCACTTACTCCCCAACTCACCCAGTCAGTCACTCACCTACTCACCCACCCACCCACTCACCCAACCACCCACCCACCCACCCACGCACCCACTCACTCACTCACTCACCTTATCACTCACTCACTCACTCACCCCACTCACTCACTCACTCAGCCATTCACCCACCCACTCATACAACCATCAACTCACCTACCCACCCGCCCACTCACACCCACTCACTCACCCATCCACTCATTCACTCACCCACTCATCCACTCACCGATTCATCCACCCACTCACTCACCCAGTCAACCACCCACTCACTCACCTAGTCACCCATTCACTCATGCGCTCACTGTCTCACTCATCCACTCACTCACTTACTCATTCACTCACTCATTCACTCACTCACCCGCTCACCAACCACTCACTTAACCACTCATTCATCCACTCATCCACCCATTCACCCAACCACTCACCTACTCACCCACCCACCCACTCAACCACCCACCCACCCACGCACCCACCCACTCACTTACTCACTCACTCACCTTATAACCCACTCACTCATCCACTCACTCACTCATCCACTCACTCAACTACTCATCCACCCATTCACACACTCACCCATTCTTCCACACTCACCCACTCACCAACTCACCTACTTACCCACTCACTCACTCACTCACCCACTCTGTCACTCACTCACTCACCCATTCAACCACCCACCCACTCATCCACTCAACTTTTCATCCACCCACTAACTCACTCACTCACCTATTTACCCACTCACTCATACACTCACTCACTCAGTCACCCAACCACTTGCCCATTCACTCACTCACTCACTCATCCAATCACTACCCATCTACTCACTCACCTACTCACCCACCCACGCACTCACCCACCAACCCACTCACCCAACCACTCACTTAACCACTAATCCAGTCAGTCACTCACCTACTCCCCCACTTATACAACCAACAACTCACCCACCCACCCACCCACTCATACAACCACCCACTCACCCACCCACCCACTCACACACACTCAACCATTCATCCACTCACTGACCCACTCACTCACTCGCTTACTCATCCGTTCACCAACCGACCCACTCACCCATCCACTATTTTATTTACTCACCCAGTCAGTCACTCACCTACTCACCCACCCACGCACTCTCCAACCCACCCACCCACTCACGCACTCACCAATTAATCCACTCACTCACTCACCCGATTACTCACTCCTCCACTCACCAACCGAGCCACTCACCAATTCACCAATTCATTCATTTCACCCACTCACCCATTTAGTCACTCACCCAACCACTCAAATAGCCACTCACCCAGTCAATGACTCACCTACTCACCCACCCACCTACTCACCCACCCACCAACTCTCCCACCCACTCGCTCACCTGCTCACCCGCTCACTCTCTCACCCACTCACTCACTCATCCACTCAGCAACACACCCACCCACCAACCAACTCACCCACTCACCCACCCACCCACTCACTCACCCACCCACCCACCCACCCACTCACTCACCCACCCACCCACCCACTCACCCATTCACCCACTCACTCATCCACTCACTCACTCATCCAGTCTACCACCCACCTGCTCACCCATTCACTCACTCATCCACTCTCCCACTCATTCATACACTCATCCACACACCCACCCACCCACTAACCCACTCAATCACTCACCCAACCACTCACTTAACCACTCATCCTTCTACTCATCCACCCACTCACCCACCCACCCACTTACCCATTCACCCACACACCCATCAACTTACTCCCCCACTCACTCATCCACTCACTCACTCATCCACTCACCAACCCACGCATTCACCCATTCACGCACTCACCCACTCAGTCACTCATCTACTCACCCACCCATTCATCCACCCACCCACTCACCCACTTCACCCACGCACTCACTCACCATCTCACCCACTCACTCACCCACTCACTCACCCACTCACTCACCCACTCACTCATTCACTTATCCACTCACCCACCCACTCACCCATTCACCCATTCACTCACTCACCCACTCAGTCACTCACCTACTCATCCACCCACCCAATCACCAACTCACCTACTCACCCACTCACCCACACCCTCACCCACTCCCCCACCCACCCTTAATTGAATGAACACAGCTGTACCAATGATATTCTATCTGCGTCTCAACATCCCACTGCTATTGTTAGTGTTGGAGTCAAGTTCCATGTTTATTTGGTTCGCCTGGCTATATCATCATACTCGTTGACACATTGAGACCCATAGAGCTATATATATCTACATAGAGACCCATAAAGACTGATTTAGACACATACACGTCGATAGATATACATAGACATGTGAAGGTAGATAGATACTCATAGAGATGAATAGAGATACGTCGCGACCCACAGAGATACATAGAGACCTATTGAGATACAGAGACCCATAGATATACAGAGAGATTAACAAATAACAGATATACGGAGATACACAGAGACTCATAGAAACATAGAGAGACCCATACAGATAAACAGAGATACACAAAGAGATTCACGTAAATACACAAAGACCCATAGAGAAACTCAGATACTCATTCAAATGCACAGAGATACACATATATCCATAGAGATAGACAAATATGAATAGAGACCCATAGACAAACACAGGGATACAGATGTAGTGACATCGCGGGATGTCACTGTGCAGTACCGGCCTAGAGGGTCACGGCGTGCGGTGTAACGACACCACGGACACCGCAGTGGTGTGGGTTTAGTAGCGGCCCTAGAGGGGCCCGGTGAGCGCTGATTGATAGCGCTGGATGGCACCGCGCTTGGCGTGCAGTGCCAGCCCGACAGGACATGGTGTGGGAGTGCCGGCCGTAGGAATGAGGTTACTAAAGGCCATGGCACTCTGGTTGACCCGAGAGGAAACGTGACCAGTTAAGTCTACAAAGGGGCCCGAGTGGGGGCTAGGGGTGGTCACGTGGTTAGCATCCAGATCCTTCCCGAGGATTGTGGAAGGTGGTCGTGGCCAAGGGCGGAGGCAGTCACACTGCAGAGAATAGAAGTCGGGTCCCCAGAGGGACCGGCGTTGTTGTTCATCCCGGAAGAAACCTTTGTCTCCGTTCTCCATTCCACTCACTCACCCACCCACCCAGTCACCAACCCACCCACTCACCCATTCATCCACCCTCTCACTCACCCACTCACCCAATCACTCACTCACCTACTTAGGCACTCACTCACTCATTCATCCACTTACTCACTCATCCACTCACTCACTCGATCACTCACCACCCAACCACTCACTGATGCACTCACCCAGTCAGTCACTCACCTACTCACCCACCCACACTTTCACCCACTCACCCATTCACTCACCCACCCATTCACCCACCGATCCACTCACTCACCCGCTCACTCACTCACTCCCTCACCCACTCACCCAATCATCTACCCACTCACTCACCCGCTCACTCACTCATCCACTCACTCATCCACTCACTCATCCACTCACTCACTAATCCACTCACCCACCCACCCACTCACCCACCCACCAACCCACTTAATCACCCACTCATTCACTCACCCACGCACCCATGTTCCCACCCACTCACTCACTCACCTATTCACCTGGTCAGTCACTCACCTACCCACGCACTCACCCACGCACTCACCCACCCACTCAACCACCACTCACCCATTCGCCCACCCACTCATCCACTCACCCACCCAATCACCCACCCACTCACCTACTCACCCACACACTCACCCACTCCCACACCCATCCACTAACTCAACCACCCACTCACCCACCCAATCACCTACCCACTCACTCACCCTCTCACCCACCACTCACCCATTCGCCCACCCTCTCATCCACTCACCCACTCCCCCACCCACCCTTAATTGAATGAACACAGCTGTACCAATTATATTCTATCTGCGTCTAAACATCCCACTGCTATTGTTAGTGTGGGTGTCAAGTTCCGTGTTTATTTGGTTTTCCTGGCTGTATCATCATACTCATTGACACATTGAGACCCATAACGACTGATAGAGACACATGCACGTCGATAGATATACATAGACGCATAAAGGTAGATAGATACTCTTAGAGATGAATCGAGATACGTAGCGACCCACAGAGATACATAGAGACCTATTGAGATACAGAGACCCATATATATACAGAAAGATAAACAAAGAACATTAGAGATACACAGAGATACACAAAGACCCATAGAGACAAGCAGAGACCCATCCAGATACAAAGAGATACACAGATACCCTGATGGATGCTCATAGACCCATAGAGATACACAGAAATACAAAAAAACACCCATAGAGAAACTCAGATACCCATTAAAAAGCACAGAGATACACAGATATCCATAGAGATAGACAGAGATGAGTAGAGACCCATAGACAAACACAGGGATACAGATGTAGTGACATCGCGGGATGTCACTGTGCAGTACCGGCCTAGAGAGGCACGGCGTGCGGTGTAACGACACCACGGACATCGCAGTGGTGTGGGTTTAGTAGCGGCCCTAGAGGGGCCCAGTGAGCGCTGATTGATAGCGCTGGATGGCACCGCGCTTGGCGTGTAGTACCAGCCTGACAGGACATGGTGTGGGAGTGACGGCCGTAGGAATGAGGTTACTAAAGTCCATGGCACTCTGTTTGACCCGAGAGGACACGTGACCAGTTAAGTCTATTAAGGGGCCCAAGAGGGGTCTAGGGGTGGACACTTAGTTAGCATCCAGATCCTTCCCGAGGATTGTGGAAGGTGGTCGTGGCCAGGGGTGGTGCCAGCCACGCCGCAGAGAATAGAAGCCGGGTCCCCAGAGGGACCGGCGTTTTTGTTCATCCTGAAAAAACCTTCGTCTATGTTCTACATTCTACCGAGTCTCCAACACATGGACCTGGACCCGAGCTGTGGTCGTTGTCCGTAGTAGCAGTTACATTGTAATTAGTGTAGTTAGCCAGGTGGTCACCACCATAGGTTGTTATTCTAAGGGGAAGTTTCCTCTTGTGTTGGAGTTAAATGAATATGTTGTATCCAAGTATACGTCTGCAACTCCGTCGAACTCACTACACATATATACACAGATATATACAGAAACCCATAGAAATACATAGAGGCCCATATAGATACTCAGAGACCCATATACAGTGATACCTCGGTTCACGAACAACTCGGTTCACGACCAGAAAATTTCATTAAAATATGCTTCGGTTCACGAACTCTGCTTCGGTTCACGAACAGGAGCCGCGCCCATTTTTATGCTAATTCCAGGCTGTCACATGGTCGTGATTTATTGTAACGGGAGCGAGCAATGCAAAATCAGCCGAGGGAGTACCCGCCTCCTCCTCCTCGGGGGCTCGCGACACGTGGTGCGCCCGCCTCTTCTGCCCTTCACGCGCAGGCTACACGCGCACACGCACGCGCGCGGACGCACGCACGCGCATGCACGCGCGCGCACCCCGGAATGAGCGGAGAGGCACACATGCGCCAGCTGTGACAGTCATCCCTCTTCACCTAAAAATAAAAAAACCCCGAGCGATGGATTTTTTTCCACGTATTTTCGTCAGCGTTGACCACAGCCCCCCGAAACGATCTCTCCTTGAAAAATCTATTATGCAAAAATGGAATGAGTGCCATGACTTTTTTGAAAAGCACCACCCCAACATAGCTGTCACGAACAGAGTGTTAAATCTCATGAATGATAATGTGGTCTCTCAAAAAAAAGGTCAGAACGGATTAACCGGATTTACATTGAACCCTATGGAAAAATGTGCCTCGGTTCACGACCAATTCGGTTCACGACCAGAGTCATTTCACGAATTAAGTTCGTGAACCGAGGTATCACTGTAGATAAACAGAGACCCTTAGAGATATATAGAGATACACAGAAACTAATAAAGATATACAGAGATACAAAAAGACGCATATATATTCACAGAGACCCATAGAGATACACAGAGACCCATATAGATACACAAAGACAATAGAGATACACAAAGACCCATAGAGAAACACAGACACCCATAGATATACACAAAGACCCACTTTTCATTAGGAAACAATGTTAATAGGGCAGGTTACATTGCTGGGGAAATTTACAATCGAATTTGTTTTTTATATTTGTGTTTATATATTAAACCAAACCCTATATATACGCATGGATGAATGCGTGCAGATGGAGTGCAGCAATGCTAAGTCAGAGCTGCACCTTGTAAATTAACCTGGAAAATGCGACCTTAAGTGAAGTAGCGCTAAGTGAAACACACTTTCCCATAGCAAGCAATGTTAATGGGGGAATTTATGTTCCTGGGGTAATGTTCTACCACACTTAAGAACATATAAAAACTTTCTTAACATATGAACCACCCTATATAAACTTTAATTTTCTTTACAAATGTATTTAAATGAATGGATGCGTGCAGATGGTGCAAAGGCATTCACGGGCGGAGCCCCGGGCTACATCTACGCCACCGGCCTCATGGGCGGCTATTTGAGCGTCGTCTGCGCCATTGCGCCCGCACTCGGCGAGCGCCCATCCTGGGTGACGACCTCTATAAATCTCCTGAACATCTTTGCCAACGTCTACGCCGTAGGCTGCTCGGCCGACGAATGCTGGGCCTGCGACAACTTATACCGTCTGTGGCATAAGCCCAACGTTGACTGCGCCAACACAACGTGGGTGAGGGCGAGCGGTCCAAACGCTCCGGTTATGCCCAAGAAAATAGTGGTGGACTCCGCGGGTGGAGTCTACCTCCTTGGAACCAATGCGCAACTCTACCACAGGTTTGAGTTGTGTTGTTAAGTTTATGGGTGGCAATGTTGAGTCTATGGGTCTCAGTGCTGAGTCTATGGTGCAGTGCTGAGTCTATGAGTGAGTACTGAGTCCATGATGCAGTGTTGAGTCTATGGGCAGTGTTGTTAAGGCCATGCTGCAGTGTTGAGTGTATGGGTCTCAGTGTTGCGTCTCAGAGTGGCAGTGTTGAGCCTATGGGTGGCAGTGCTAACTCTATGGGTGGCAGTGCTGACTCTATGGGTGGCAGTGTTGAGTCTATGTGTGGGAGTGTTGGGTCTATGGGTGGAAATGTTGAGTTTATGCGTGGCAATTGCTGAGTCTATGGGTAGCAGTCTTCAGTCTATGCGTGAAAATTGCTGAGACTATGCGTGGCAGTTCTGACTATGGGTGCCAGTGTAGAGGTGTTACGGAGGGCAAAACAAACACACTGGGCGTGGTTATGCCCGTACGCCAAGAGGTGCTTACATCCACGTCCGCACCGTTTAGCCTGGGGGGCTAACATGGCGCTGGGATCCCCCACGGCCCCACCCCTCAGTGGGGAAGTTGCTATATAAGACGGTGAGCCGGAGGGCTCGGGGTTCAGTGTTCAGCCTTAACCAGCGAAGCAAGAAGACCGGCTAGATAGGCCCTGGGACTCCCCTGGATCGCTGTCCTTCTCAGGACCGACCAGGGCAAGCCAGTGGCGTGGCCCCAAGAGCCCAGAGCCGATGTTCTTGTAAGAGCCGGTCTGGGGACTCAGGGTGCCGTAATCCCAGCTTAAACAGAGCTGGGTTAGCTAGCCTCCCCTAGCCCTGTAGTGGAGGACCTAGGAGTAGGCTAGCCGTGACATAGATAGTGTGATCTCCCTGTTAGACGGGTGAAGGGGCCGATACCCCTTCGAGTGTTGTACATCACGGCCTGTTATGTACATTGTGGTTAATAAATAAGTGTGCCTCCAACTACGTCGTCCAAGTCTCCTGGAACCTACTACACCAGTGAGTCTATGCGTGGCAGTGCTGACACTATGGGTGGCAATGTTGAGTCTATGCGTGGTATTGCTTAGTCTATGGGTCTCATTGCTGAGTCTATGATGCAGTGTTGAGTCTATGGACAGTGCTGTTAAGGCTATGCTGCAGTGTTGAGTGTATGGGTCTCAGTGTTGAGTCTCTGGCAGTGTTGAGTCTATAGGTGGCAGTGTTGAGTCTATTGGTAGTGTTGCGTCTCAGAGTGTCAGTGTTGAGTCTATGCGTGGCAGTATTGAGTCTATGCGTGGCAGTGTTGAGTCTATGAGTGGCAGTGTTGAGGCTGTGAGTGGCAGTGTTGAGGCTGTGAGTGGCAGTGTTGAGTCTATGGGTGGCAGTGTTGAGTCTTTGGGTGGCAGTACTGAGTCTATAGTTGGCAGTGTTGAGACTATAGGTGGCAGATTTGAGTCTTATAGGTGGCAGTGTTAAGTCTCATAGGTGGTAGTGTTAAGTCTTTGGGTGGCAGTGCTGACTCTATGGGTGGCAGTATTGAGTCTATGGGTGACAGTGTTGAGGCTGTGGGTGGTAGTGTTGATTCTATGGGTGGCAGTGCTACTCTATGGGTGGCAGTGTTGAGTCTATTTGTGGGAGTGTTGGGTCTATGGGTGGAAATGTTGAGTCTATGGGTGCAATGTTGAGTCTATGGGTGGTATTGCTTCATCTTTGGGTTTCATTGCTGAGTCTATGGTGCAGTGATTTTTATAAGGATGGCAGTGCTGACTCTATGAGTGAGTACTGAGTCTATGGTGCAGTGTTTAGTCTATGGGTAGCAGTGTTGAGTCTTGGTAGCGTTGCGTCTCAGAGTGGCAGTGCTGAGTCTATGGGTGACAGTTTTAAGTCTATGGGTAGCATGGTTGAGACTATGCGTGGCAGTGCTGAGGCTGTGGGTGGCAGTGTTGCGTCTATCGGTGGCAGTGCTGACGATGGCTGGCAGTGTTGAGTCTATGGGTGGCAATTTTGAGTCTCTGCATGGCAGTGCTGAGTCGATGGGTGGCAGTGCTGAGTCTATGGGTGGCAATTTAGAGTCTCTGCGTGGCAGTGCTGAGTCTGTGGGTGGCAATGTTGAGTCTATGCGTGGCGGTGCTGAGTCTAGGGTGGAAGTGCTGACTCTATGGGTGGCAGTGTTGAGTCTATGTGTGGAAGTGCTGAGTCTATGGGTGGCAGTGCTGAGTCTATGGTGCGGTGATGAGTCTATGGCATCTCTGTTCTTTTCGCAGGGCTGTGAATATAACGACGTGGACTCAGCCAATCCCCAGTGGATACTTCCTGTCCTTCACTGTACACGAATCTAACCTTATCGTCATAGACTCTGCCAGGACCATGAAGATATGCAAAGTGTGATACCCTTGGGCCATTGGCATACTCTTTCACTCATGTTTATTTGCTCACCCACCCACTTACCTGTCCATCCCTTTACCCACCCACTCATACATCCACCCACCCACTCACTCAACCACTCACTCACTCAACCACCCACTCACACATCCACCCATTCACACATCCACCCACTCTTTCATCGACCCACTCACTTACCCACCCACTCACTTACCCACCCACTCTGTCACCCATCCAATCTCTCACCCATCCACTCATCCAGCCACTCTCTAAACCACTCACTTACCCCCCCCCCCCACTCTCTCACCCACCCACTCTCTCACCCATCCAATCTCACACCCATCCACTCATCCAACCACTCTCTCAACCACTCACCCACTCACCCACCCACTCACCAACCCACTAAATAATTCACCCATTCGCCCACCCACTCACCTGCCGACCGACTCACCCGCCCATCCATTCACCCACCCATGTGATGGTTAAGTAGTGGTGGTGAGTCTGTTTAGTTTTGTTGTGTTTTGAGGTTAAATTTAACGAAATAAAAACATTGAACGAGGATTGGAATCTACGGAACTTAAAAGCAGAGTCACTCAGCAGCCTTTACAGAGACACCTCAATATACAAAGATATTATATGCCTAGCCTAGTATGCCTGAGATCTTGAGTGATGATTGTGATGGTGATGGTTATGGTGGTGGTAGTCTTGGTGGTGGTGTTGATTGGGATGGTGGTGATAGTGGTGGTAATAGGGATGGTGGCGATGGTGGTGGTGATGGGGATGGTGGTGGAAATGGTGGTGATGGTGGTGGTGATGGCGATGGTGGTGGTGATGGCGATGGTGGTGGTGATGAGGGTGATGGGGATGAGGGTGATGGAGATGGTTGTGATGGCGGTGGTGATGGGAATGGTTGTGGTGTTGCATTTATTGTTATACAAAATATGAAATGTAACAATGAAACATGTTCAAATAAAAAATAAGTCAAAATTACGTAAAATATGTTATTGTATGTAATTGAGGGTGATTATCTAAAAATAGGTGTTAGGTGTAATTAAGAACGTGTGTTATATTTTTTTATGATTAATGTGTGTTAGTGTTTGTGTGTCTGATTATGTGTTGTCTAAGGGTATGTATGTGTTATTATGTGGTGCAATTTATTATTGTCTCTCTCGTTGTCTAGGGGTATGTATCACCAATCGTGATAAGATCAATGATTCTCGCTTTAACATTTATGATTCTGGCTTCAACATTGATGATTCTCGCTTTAACAGTTTTGCGTGAAATTATGTCAGGTCTTCGAGATTCAGATCTCACCACAGGATACACTTCGTCATTACGACAATGACGAACGAATGTAGGGAAGAAGCACTCAGGAACCTGTTTTTAATCTAAGCAACTTTAATTTCAACTTAACCTAACATCCAACAACTTTTATCATCAGAATTCCCACAGTACCCATGCAAATATACGTCCTCAATCCATACTGGATGGCCATAAAATCATCAATGGTCATATGGGGCCATTCATTGAGTACGTACCCATGGAGGGGAGAGAGGGGCTTAACCAAAATGCGTACGCTTGCATATGAGGGGTCTACTGACAATGTGCGTACACATAGGACACCAGGGTGGGGGGGGGGGGGGGTGAAGCCTCGGTAATAATTTGTCTAAATTGGCTTTCAAATGAGCCACAGTTCAGTTTTTTCAGCTGTCAAACAAGTACAGCCTGGAGAAGAAGGACTTAGGGAGAGGTGTCACTTGTATGCCACCGTACCCCTGACTGCGAGCTATCACGCAGCTCAGCAGTGAGTAATAATAATAGTTCAATTTATAACGCGTGCAAATTTGCAGACGTAGTGGCCGCAATTCAGAGGCGCGGAGCCAAGCTCAGAGTCGCTCGAAAGCATGATTGTAGAGGTGAGTTTTTAAGTCTCTCTTGAAGGAGGCGATTGAGGTGATGCTGCGAATGTGCAGAGGGATATCGTTCCAGACTGTTGGGGCTGTCACCGAGAAGCGGCGCATAGACATGACCATCCTGGATCTTGGTATCAAGAGGAGGTCGTGAGTCGCGCTGCGCAGGCATCTGCCGTGTGCTGAGCTGCAAGTTGTCAATAATGAAGAAAGGTACGGCGGGCAGGCGGATTGTGGCAGAGGCAGGCAGTCTTGTATGTGACCCTACTGGCGATGGGTAGCCAGTTGAGAGCACGGAGACAAGCTAGTGAGTCGAGACGGGGATGAGTGTGGGCAATGACGACGCGTGCTAGGTTGTTTTGTAGTCTTTGAAGTTTTTTTAGGTTGCCAGCGGAGGTCCGGACTAGGACCGAGTTGTAATAGTCAAGGCGAGACCCAACTATGCAACATGCCAATGTGTTGGCAATTTCAGTAGAGATGAGAGGACATATGTGTCTGAGAGCCTTCAGGTGAAAGAGTCTGACATAGTCTGGCGGCCAGCCCCATGAATTACACATCTTTCAACCTGGCCTCACTGCAAACTGCCGCTGGCTCAAGATTTTAGCTGCCGTGGTGCTCTGTTCGTGCTGCTGCCGGGACTTCAGTACTAATGTGGTGCCACGGCCGCGGAGCAGCTCCACCAATGCCGTTATCCACACGAACGCACGCACACCCCCACTAAACACACACATGCACCCACGTAGGGTCTCGATGGGGGGGGGGGGGGGTGCCTGGCCCACGGGTTTTCATCTGAAGGGCCCCTTGCCAGGAGATGGCCAACCACCCCCCCCCCCCCAGGCCGGATTACATGGCAGCCCCTCTAAAATCAACTTAAAAAGTCGTAGGGACGCATATAACTTTACAGGCTGGCCGTGATGAAGCATACACAACACGGGGGGGTGGGGCCTCAAGGCAAACACTCTACGGGCAGTGCAAACAGTGGGGTGGGGTTTGGACCGCTGGGCACCGAGGAATAGGATTTAAGAGAGACCCAGGGAATTACCAGTGAATCGGAGATGAGGAACGCAGATACGGGGACAATGGGAAGGGGGGGAAGAGGGGGGATGACGTCATGCCCCCCGTAACGGCCAGAGCGTTCAAAACGGCAGGTAAGAAGCACTCGTTTGGCCGCACAGGATGACATCATGTCACCCGGGGATTAACGGGCTCCGAGAGCATAAGAGGGGAGAGAAAGAGCGAATTGTCAGGGGCATCGCGCGAGAGACTGCCCCCAGATCGCCCATGCTAGGCACACACCAGGGTTAAGCGCCAACGCCTCCCTAGAGAGGGAACCACCGAGGGGTGCAATCAATGTGGTCTCAACACAAATAAACTGTAATAATAATGGCGAGCGAGTGACCCCCACGCAGATTCCAGCAACAACACCCAAGAACGTGTCAACTTCTGGCGACTGGCTGTGGGAGCTGGTGGCAAGACTCACGGGGTCCACGTTGCTGGTGGAAGGGCAGGTGAACGGGCAGCGTACCCGGATTCTGCTGGACACGGGGGCGGTGGCCTCACTCGTGAGCGCCACACACTGCAGCGTGGTCGGGGTTGACGTGGGCAGCCTGCAGGTCCCGGATCGTGCACTGCACACTGCAAGCGGAGCTCGGATGGGACTGCTGGGGAGCGTCACCCTTGAGGTCCGTCTCGGACACCAGGTGTGTATTCTTATGTTTTTTTGGTAAAGTCACGTAGGTACCTACATGAATCCTTGCAGACACGAAAGCTTCAAATCTAGAACCAGGTGTGTTCTATGTGTCGAGCGTGTTATGCCACGATTGTATTGCAGGTATTGACCTCCTGGAAAAGTTGGGGCTCAACATATAGCCCCGCCAGCGATGTGCCACCGTGGAAGGCAGCGGGGAGCTGTTTTCGTTCCTGGGACAAGAGCCGGGTCGCCCCCGCGTTGAGCCCGTGGCTGCTATCCTGTCATTCACCGTCACCGTTGGCCCCCTCGCGGAGATGCTGGTGCTGGTGGCAACACCCTCCACTGACGATGGGGGTGGGGGTGTGTGCCTGGCCCACGGGTTTTTTCGGCGAGCGCCTGGTCTGCCCCAGTTGTACTGGTGACAAAAAAGTATGGGTCGACCAGGTTTTGCGTTTATTATCGAAAGTTGAACGCAGTTACACTCGTAGACGCCTTCTCCATCCCCCGCATCGATGACACATTTGACAGCCTTGCATGGGCGCAGTATTTTTCCACCCTCGATCTAGCATCCGGGTACTGGCAGGAGGATATGGCAGAGGAGGATCGGCCAAAGACCGCCTTTACCACCCCGATAGGACTGATCGAGTTCCGAGTACTCCCGTTCGGACTCACTAACACACCTGCGACATTCCAGCGGTTGATGGAGTTGGTGATGCGGGGCTTGCAATGGGAACAGTGCCCAATTTACCTGGATGACGTGATAGTGTTCAGTAGGTCGCTGTCTGAACACTGGTCCGGGTTACAGGAGGTGTTCCAAAGACTGTGAGCAGCCCATTTCAAGCTTAAGCTGCCTAAGTGTCATATTGCGCAGCGCGAGGTTGGGTACCTCAGGTACCGCATCAGCGAGGCAGGGGTGTGCTATGACCTGGAAAAGGTATGGCCACGGCCGAGGAACCTGACGGAGATCAGGCCATTTTTGGGGCTAGCTACTTAATATAATACATTTTTGAAGGGATTCAGTGAGATTGCAAACCCCCTCACCCAACTCACTTCTCCTAATAACCCCTATCAGTGGACGGAGGCCTGCCAGACGGCCTTCACCACCCTCAAGGACCACCTCACCCATACCCCCACCCTGGCTTTCCCTGACTTTTCCACAGATTTTATTTTGGACACCGATTCCTGAGACGGAGCGGGTCAACGCATATTCCAGCCGGACCCTGAGCGGGGCTGAACTGAATTATTGCGTGACCTGTCAGGAACTGTATGCCGTGATTTCCGCATGTAAGCAGTTCCGGCCGTATTTCATAATGCAGGAAATGTCGCATGCGCACTGACCATTATGCTCTGCAGTTCATCCTCACATTCAAGGAACCGCGGGGGCAAATGGCCCGGTGGCTGATGCAGCTGAAGGAGTATAACCTGCAAATCAAGTACAGGGCTGGGCGGACGCACGCAAATGCGGACGCCTTGTCAAGACGACCCGTGGTGTGCGCTGAGACGAGGGTGGAGGAGGCCTGCCCGTGCTTCACGGGGAGATGCTGGCGACAGGCAATGGCCCCCCTGGAGTGCCCTGAGACTAACCTACCTCCACTGAGAGAAAGTGCCGTGTGTGTCACAGAGGTCCCTGCAGA